AAGTTGAATAATATTCCATACGTATTTGCTACATTTTGTTTATGCATTCACCTGTTGATAGTCATTTGGATTGTTTCCATCATTTTGGCTAGTGTGAATAATGCTGCCATGAACACTAGTGTACAAATATCTTTTTGAATCTCTGCTTTCAATTCTTTTGAATACATATCTAGAGATGGAAATGCTGGATCACATGGTAATTTTATTTAATGTGTTGAGGAACTCCTATATTGTTTTCCACAATGTATGCACCATTTAAGATTCCCAACAGCAATACACAAGGGTTTTAATTTACCCACATCCTTGCCGACATTTATTATTTTTTCATTTTTTGACTAGCCATTTATAAAAATTTTAATTGGCCGGGCTCAGTGGTTCAGCCTGTAATCCTGCACCTTGGGAGGCTGAGCCCAAGGGTTCAAGACCCGCCTGGGCAATTTGGCAAGACCTCATCTCTACAATAAAATCAAAAAAATTAGCCGGGCATGGTAGCGCATGCCTGTAGTTCCAGCTACTTGTAAGGCTGAGGTGGAAGGATTGCCGGAGCCCAGCAGGTCGAGGCTGCGGTGGCCGGGAGCAGCCACTGCACTCCAGTCTGAGCAACTGAGTGAGACTCCAACTCAAAAAAAAAAAATTTTTTTTTAATTGACACAATAATTGTACACATTTATGGGGTACAGAGTGATATTTTGATACATGTATACAATGTAATGATTAAATCAGGATAATTAGTATATCCATTACTTCAAACATTTATCTTTTTTTGTATTGTGAACATTCAAAATCCTCTTTCTGGCTGTAATCCCAGCACTTTGGGAGGCTGAGGTGGGAGGATCACTTGAAGCCAGGAGCTTGACACCTACCTGAGCAACATAGCAAGACCTTGTCTCTGCAAAAACAAAAAAAATTAGCCAGTGGTGGTGGTGCATGCTTGTAGCCCCAGCTACTTGGGAGGCTTATGCAGAAGGATCACCTGAGCCCAGGAGTTTGAGGCTGCATGAGCCATGATCATTCTACTGCACTCCAGCCTGGAAGACAGAGTGAGACTCCAATTCAAAAAAAAAAAAAATCTCTTTTCTAGCTATCTGAAAATATGCAGTAAATTATTGTTAACTGTTGTCAGCCTACAGCACTACAGAACACTAGAACTTATTCCTCATATCTAGCTGTATTTTTGTATCCATTAACCAACCTCTCCCTATTCTCCCCCACCTACCCTTCCTAGCCTCTGATAACTAATTCTATGAGCTCAATGTTTTTATTTCCCACATATGAGTGAGAATATGTAGTATGTATCTTTCTGTGCCTGACTTATTTAATATAATGCCTTCTAGGATCATCCATGTTGCCATGAATGACAAGATTTTATGCTTTTTTATGACATATATCCATTATGTGTGTGTGTGTGTGTGTGTGTGTGTGTGTGTGTGTGTGTAACATTCCCATTACCCATTCATCTGTTGATGGATGCAGGTTGATGCCATATTTGCCTGTTGTGATTAGTGCTGTAGTAAACATGGGGATGGAAATATCTCTTTGATACACTGACCTTCCTTCCTTCCTTCCTTCCTTCCTTCCTTCCTTCCTTCCTTCCTTCCTTCCTAATGGGACTGCTGGATTATAAAGTATATCTACTTTAAGTTTATTGAGGACCCTCCGTTCAGTTTTTTATAATGGTTGTACTAATTTACATTCCTACCAACAGTGTGTAAGTTCTCTTTTCGCTGCATCCTCACATTTTTTATTTTTTGTCCTTTTGATAATAGTCATTCTAATTGAGATGAGATGGTGTCTCATTATGGTGCTGATTTGCATTTCCTTAATGATTAGTGATGTTGGACATTTTTCCATATACCTGTTGACCATATGTATGTTTCTTTCGAGAAATGCATATTCAGATCCTTTGCCCATTTTAAAATTGGATTATTTGGTTTTTTGTTGTTGAGTTTCTTATGTAATCTAAATATTAATCACTTCTCAGATGAATAGTGTGCAAATGTTTTCGCCCATTCTACAGGTTGTCTCTTCACTCAGTTGATTGTTTACTTTGCTATGTAGAAACTTTTTAGTTGGACATAATCTCATTTGTCCATTTTGGTTTTTATTGTTTGTGCTTTTGAAGTCTCATTCATACAGTTTTTCCCAGACCAATGTCCTGAAGTGTTTCCCCTATGTTTTCTTCTAGTAGTTTTATAGTTTTGGGTCTTACATTTAAGTCTTTAATCCACTTTGAATTGATTCTTACATATTGTGGAGATAGAGATCTAGTTTCATTCTTCCACATATGTATATCCAGTTTTCTCAGCACCATTTATTGTATTTTATTTTTATGCTTTAGAATATCCTTTATCAATAAACCAATGGGGAAAAAATACTCCAGCAAGAAAACATAATACAGAAAAGTTATAACAATCTTAGGTTATAAGTCTGAATTATCCCAGGAAGTTCATTTATGGAATATGGGACTTTATGCAGCCCCTGCCAGAAGCACTGCCATTAAGTAGAGATTATGAAAAAGATTCTTCGATAAGTAATCAGACAGAATTTAGGTAAATTCTTTCTTTGGAAATACACTCTTATACTTGGGAGTTAAAGTGTCAGACATTTCTCATTTTCATTTTTCTTTATCATCTTAATATGCCTTGCAAGACACTTAGCAAACTAAAGTCTACATTTACCAGCCTCTTTGCACTTTGAAAAGACAATGCAACAATTTTTGGACCATGATAAATGAACAGAAGCAATATATGCAGCATTTGATTAGTATACTTAAAGGAAATGTGTGTGACCTTTTATCCCTCTTACCATTGTTTAGAATTCATAGGTTGTTTTGAGCTATTTCACTTAACAAGAGAAGGAGAAGAGTCTAGGCATATAAAAGCAAAAAAATAAATCAACACCATAAAGCTGTCATAGCATGACTAGACTCCTACAATTTTTTAAAAAATCAAATTTAATTTGATTTTAGAGTAGTGGGGTACACGTGAAGATTTTCTGCATGAGTAAATTGCATGCAGGTGAAGCCTGGGCTTCTAGCCAGCCCTCTCTCTCCCTGGTAGTGGACATGGTACCCAATGAGTGGTTGTGTGCTCCTTATCCTTCTTTCCCTCCCTCCTCCTATTAGCAGTATCCAGCATCAGTTGTTCCCACCTTTGTGCTTGCATGGCCAATGTTTAGGGCCTGATATGAGTGAGAACACATGGTATTCAGTTTTTTTGTTTCTGCAATAGTTCACTTAGAATGATCGTCTTCAGTTGCATCCATGTTGTTGCAAAGGACATGATTTTCTTTCTTTTTTATGGCTGCATAGCACCATGTATATGTACCACATTTTTTAAAAATCCAGTGCACTTTCAATAGACTTCTGGGTTGGTTCCATGTTTTTGCTATTGTGAATAGTCCAGCACCATTTATTAAAGAGAATAACTTTTCCCCAATGTAAGTTCTTGGTGCCGTTTTCAGAAATCAGTTGGCTATAAATACATAAATTTATTTCTGCGTTCTCCATTCTGTTCCATTGGTCTATGTTTCTGCATTTATACCAGTACCATGCTGTTTTTGTTACTGTAATTTTCTTCTATATTTTGAAGTCAGTAGTGTGATGCCTCCAACTTTGTTATTTTTTTGCTCAGGATTGCTTTAGCTATTCAAGGTCATTTGTGGTCCCATAGGAATTTTAGGATTGTTTTTTCTATTTCTGTGAAGAATGTCACTGGCATTTTGATAAGGATTGCATTGAATCTGTAGATTGCTTTGGATATTATGGTCATTTTAACAGTATTAATTATTCCAATCTTTGAACATGGAATGACTTTCTGGTTTTTTGGTGTGTTCTGTTCAATTTCTTTTGTCAGTGTTTTGTAGTTTCATTGTCAAGATCTTTCAGTTTTTTGGTTAAATTTATTCCTAGGTAATTTTTTGGTAACTATTGAAAATGGGATTGCGTTCTTGATTTCTTTTTTAGCTAGTTTGATGAATAGTCATTTTAGAGGGTATAGAGAGAAAACATTAAATTATAAGTTGAATTTGCAAGTAAATTACACATAAAGCTAATTCAAGAAATGCTTTTGAATGCCTCCTATATAAAAGCACTGTTACACTCTGAGGGAATAACAAGGATGAATAATACATTTGAGTCTTTAGATGCTTTATGATTTATTTTTCTCCTCCAAACGTATTTGTGAACAAGTAAGTCATCTTATGATTTTCATTGAGTGGTTGGAGAAATTAATCCAGAGAACTTATGCCAAATTTATAGAAAACTGAGTGGAGAGGAAAATGTTTATTAAATTTATTTCCCCAAAAATATGGTCAAATTCTGATTAACATAGTTCTCCTTTAGAAAATTCACCACCTAACCCTTAACTGTACCCCACAAAACGATAATAAAAAATATTGATTAATAAAAAAAAAAAGAAAATTCACAATAGGGATTTTTTTCCAACTCAAATTCATTTTTATAGTTTAGGTAGGCCTGATAGAACTATTTTAGTATTCATTCTTTCTTTGTCACTTCAAAATTTCGTTTCTTAACTTTCTCTCTAAATCTAACTATCTGGGACACAGTTATACTTACCTGTTCTTGATTTTAGTTTTTTGTTTGTTTTTAGAATTTTTTTTTTTTTTTTTTGAGTTGGAGCCTCACTCGGTCACCCAGACTGGAGTGCAGTGGCCGCTCCCGGCCACCGCAGCCTCAACCTGCTGGGCTTCAGCGATCCTTCCACCTTAGCCTTCCAAGTAGCTGGAATTACAGGCATGCGCTACCACGCCCGGCTGATTTTTTGATTTATTGTAGAGATGAGGTCTCGCTGCCCAGGCGGGTCTCGAACCCACGGGCTCAGGCAATCCACTCACCTCAGCCTCCCAAAGGCGCAGGATTACAGGCTGAGCCACCGAGCCTGGCTTTTAGAATGTTTTAGTTCCATCTTTGGGCAGACTAAGATAGGAAGTATTATGTTAGGCAAGGTCTCTAATTAAATTTCGGTTTTTTTTTTTTGCAGGTTAGAATTGTTGAAAGAATCCTGATACATTCCTATAATGGCTGTTGCTCAACTTTCTCACTCCACCAAAATACAAAGGGAATCTAAGGTATTTGTTAAGAATTAAAAGAAAATCAATGACCATTTAGTGAGTTAGTTTAGAATCATGACTTTAATCTTTGTTTTGTTTTTGTTTTTTTTTTTAAGTTGGAGTCTCACTCTGTTGCCCAGAACGGAGTGCAGTGGCACACTTACGGCCACCACAGCCTAGACCTGCTGGGCTTAGGCAATCCTTTAACCTTGGCCTTCCAAGTAGCTGGAACCACAGTCGTGGGCCACCAAGCCCAGCTAATTTTTAAATTTTTACTTTTATTGTAGAGACGAGGTCTCACCAAGTTGCCCAGGCTGGTCTCGACCCCCTGGGCTCAGGTAATCCTTTTGCCTCAGCCTCCCAAAGTGCTGAGATTACAGACTTGAGCCACTGTGCCTGGCCTTATGGTACTTTTTTTTAAAACAGTGGTTTTATCAATTAATTGGCATTTAATATTCTGGGAGACTATGTATACATTTTATCTGCCTAACGATCTGAGAATATTCAGAAAACTAAAATAGATTTCTATAAAGTAATTTGCTGGGTGCTTGTTTTATATCTATACAATATATTTAGATCTTCTAGAGTAAAACAAATCAGAAACAAAAAAGTGTTTAAAGAGAATGGTTCTTTGTTGGAAATTCATTTCCTGAAGCAATTGGGAAACTTGTGTTGCACACAATGTTGTAATTGTAAAAACTGAAGGGAAAAGCACTGAGAGAAACTTGAATGCTAGGAGCCTTGGGGAACATGCCAGGGCCAGGAGACCTTGCTGGATTCACACAGGTAAGTTTATAATGCGTTCAGTAATGCATAATTTGTTTATTAATTGAAATTCAATATCATACAATTTATATGTAATACTGTGTTATTCATAAGAAAATACAAATTTATGATCTTCATCTTCTAGAAGTTTATTATCTGGTAGGAAAAAAGATTTATAGGAGTTAAGTCACTATACAAAGCAGTAGATGATTTACATATATATGAAAAAATAAGCAATACAAATTATAGGAATTTAGAGATTTTGTTTGGACTAGAATGGTTTGTATATTCCTCATGAAAGAGATAGGACTTAATATGGACTTTGAATGATGAATATAATTTGGATAGAAGAGATAATTACATGAGAGAAATCTAGCATATGCTTTGGCTCAGAAGGAAATAAACATGGCATGTTTCAGAGAATAGCAAATAATCCATCTTTACTGGAGTATAGGGCTCTTCATGCTAAACAGAAGTAGGAAATAAAATTGGATAGGAGCCAGGCTCGGTGGCTCAGCCTGTAATCTCGCACCTTTGGGAGGCTGAGGTGAGTGGACTGCCTGAGCCCGCGGGTTCAAGAC